TCTCAAGTACAGTTACAACGGCTGCCCGACCCTTCAAACCGAAACGCATTACTGCTTCACGGCAGAAATAGGCGGGGTGGTGGTACCTACCCGTGCGGACTCACAAGAGGTCCTACCACCCGTAATTACGCAAATTATAATTTTGCAGGTTTGATTTTCATTACACGATGTTATTCCTTCACCGTGGAAGTCAATCGTGAACATTTGTTAAGTACGTATTTCATTAGAAAAATTGCTACCCCGCCTGGGATTCGAACACCGGTGCATCGCTTCAACACGAATGCACCGGACGTCTTATCCTTTAGGCCACGACGACTTCAAAACGAGTACGAAACACATACCACCACCACCAGTAAGTGCTTCGTTCTGAAGGTACTGCGCAATGTCCATGCCGTGGCTGACCCCACCCCCTCCCCCGCACCCCCGTCCGATATTCAGTTCGTGATGCAGCACTTGAAACATTATTTAGGTGCGGACCCGATTTAGTTATGAATAACACAATTGCATTTGAATGTAGCGAGTAATATCGAGCGGAAGTTTGATAGCGGCACAAGTTCATTGGCAAGCTATCGAGACAGGATGACACGTGCCGGCCCCCGCAGGGACCTGCCTGTGTTGCGACGCTGCGGCCTCTGGACCCCGTGCGACACTCATGCCAGGAGAGTCGCACACTCCTGTGCGAGTGTGCGACTCTCCTCCTTCTCCAAGCGCGAGGACGCTTTTTGGCCTGAGTCGGTTATAGAATCAGGTCATGGTATTATTGTAATGTGGTGCTGTCTGACTGGTCCATTGGTGAGCCTGGCTGACTGACCATGCCAACATTGAGTAGCTTCTCGAACTGCTATCGACGAAGCGTATATTTAATATTTTAAAGCTGTAACTGTTTCTTATGAAAATCGTTTCTTGGTACGAAGTTAATATAATTGTCCTACTATCCTGTTCACGAAAACCTTAAGAAACCAGAAACGTTCTGCGGTCAGAGATTAGCCCAGAAATGTTCTAGTAAAAACGTGACTAAGTGATATAACAGATTTATTTGGCGAGTAGATGTTCCGAGAACGTTTTCAATGCTAAACAAACTGTGGATTACGCAAGACTTGAGACAACACGCTGACACATCAGCCGCGCGCGACGCCCTGGGGTTCGACCCCGGGATTGCGAGGATAAATACGTAAGAATACACTTGAACTGACCTTTGAAGGTCTTCTACTGGGATACCGGATAGGGAGCTACAGCCTACCCGACTGTAAGTTGTCGATGGGCATAGCCAAGCCATACCCGCAAGTTCTATTCAACATTGAGCACGATTGAGACTCCGGCCCCCTGCAGCTATTGGTTTGCTCAATGTCAGGAGAGCCGCGAGCTCGTTCGTCCGTCCGTTGTACGTCAACAAGCCGCGGGGTTATTGCGTTAGTGAATAAATATTTCTTAACAAAACTCTGAACCGGAAACAGCGTATTACAAACATGGGTTTCTCTGAAGGCACGCGCGCCTGCCGGTCAAGGACCACCGACGCTTCGCCAGCCCCGCGATCGGATGAACGATTCGTTGGAGCGAAAGTGACTCGGGGGGCGGGTGGACAGCGCGACGGTAACCGTTGACCGTCAGGTGGGCACGGCCTTGTCTCTCTCTTGAAAGCTACACAAAGAATAAGGCACAGATTTGTACCTAAATGTGCGCTGACGTGATTGCGTCTGAAATAATTGTGATTTGATCTAGTCTCAGGTTATATTGTCCTAACGTGACCAGACTTGTAACGGTCTGAGTTCGTGACTCAAATTGTCCATTTACATGTTTTGCTTGTAATATTCTGTATAGCAGGTAATGTTAATGTTTATAGTTTTGAGTTCGCCTATTTCTGCCGTGAAGCAGTAATGCGTTTCGGTTTGAAGGGTGGGGCAGCTGTTATAACTATACTGAGACCTTAGAACTTATATCTCAAGGTGGGTGGCACATTTACGTCGTAGATGTCTATGGGCTCCAGTAACCACTTAACACCAGGTGGGCTGTAAGCTCGTCCACCCATCTAAGCAATAAAAAAAAAGTTTAGATCGCTGTGTTTGTTCAGTGCTTAGTGACTCGAAGTCTGGACCACGGTAGCGGGTTCGATTCTTGGTTCAAGTAATTACCTTTGTTAAAGGTATTTTAGTTTTTTTGTTTGTTCGTTTGTGGACCTCTTGTGAGTCCGCACGGGTAGGTACCACCACCCTGTCTATTTCTGCCGTGAAGCAGTAATGCGTTTCGGTTTGAAGGGTGGGGCAGCCGTTGTAACTATACTGAGACCTTAGAACTTACACCTCAAGGTGGGTGNGTTTCGGTTTGAAGGGTGGGGCAGCCGTTGTAACTATACTGAGACCTTAGAACTTACACCTCAAGGTGGGTGGCGCATTTAGGTTGTAGATGTCTATGGGCTCCAGTACTTAACACCAGGTGGGCTGTGAGCTTGTCCATCCATCTAAGCATAACAAAAACAAAAAAACAAAAAGGAGTTATTGTGTGCGGGGCGGGATATCATATGTCATATCATATATCATATTTATGGTAGGCAGCGGCTTAGCTCTGCCCCTGGCATTGCTGACGTCCATGAGCGACGGTGACCACTTACCATCAGGTGGGCCGTATGCTCGTCTGCCTACAAAGGCAATAAAAAAAAAAAAAAAAAAATGTCGACGTCGTCCAGCGTGACGCTAAGCCAACATACTTTAATTTGGTCCCACGTCCAGCTGTGTGAGCTCACATCAGAGGTTCCGTGACTCCTCGTGACTTTCCATTCCTATCACGTATTCGTGACGTAAGTTTCAGCAAAAAAATGTATGAATGTTTTCCCCTTACGGGCTCGGTCATAATGAACAGACAGAAATAACGTTAATTATCTTTCGTCGGATCTGTTGTGTGTAGCTGAAATGTCTTTTGTTTTGTTTTTATGTTATTTAACGAGGCGAGTGACGTCGCGGGGGTCACGCTGCGGCTCGGGTCTGCGGTAATTATCATGTCTTTGACTTTTGAAAGACAAGCTTGTAGCAACGTGATTGAGTTGCATTCACGAGGTGTCCGGACCTTTGTTACTGCAGCCGGACAAACAAATTGACAAATCAGAGCGCCACCCCAAAAATAATTTACTGGTAGGAGGTAGGACCTCTTGTGAGTCCGTGCTGGTAGGTACTACCACCCCGCCTATTTCAGCCGTGAAGCAGTAATGCGTTTCGGTCTGGCGGTCTTAGAACTTATATCTCAAGATGGGTGGCGCATTTTCGTTGTAGATGTCTATGGGCTCCAGTAACCACTTAACACCAGGTGGGCTGTGAGCTCGTCCACTCATTTGAGCAATAAGAAATAACCTAGTGGATAAAGATCGCAGCGTTGCTCTGCTGTGACGCAGAGATGAAGCAAGAGAGCCCGTTGCTATAGGGTTCGCAAGACGCGACGGTCACTGTGCCACGAGCGCATTAGAAGTAGGTTAGAGCGTGGATTGATATAAAAGTGTTGGTAATATAACTTTCTCTCGCTATTCGTAAGTAGGCAGAGTTCACATATCCACCAAACGTGACCATAATGTGTTTATTCAAGTTATTTTGTAAAGCCGCGTCGAAGACATAAGCTGAGCGCGGGTTGGCTGGTCGACAACAGACATGCTGTGTCATGTGGTGGTGCCGAGCTACATGTGTATATATACGACCCACGGATGCTGTTTGCTCGTGCGTTCACTCGAGCCACACGTGTGTTATGTTATGCCCCGCTCACCGCGTAACACGTGAACATTACTAGAAGAAAGGTTTTGAAGTACTTTATTTCGTTCAGAAACGATGTATGATCTTTAAAATTATTAGGTATAGCGGCCGGCTCCGGCTCCGCTCGGGTCTTTAAGAAAAAATTCAACGATATTTGACGTTGTTTTATTTTTTTTAAATAAAAGAACATTTATTGCGGCATAACTATAATAGTTAGACATATGCTGTTGCGACACTTTTAGTAAATAATAATGTGTAATTATTTTATTCTATCATCAATAGTTTTCGCAGCGCACGCGATGTAAAGAATATTTTAGGTAATTTTTTTACACCTTGGGTTACATTATTGGAGTTTTAGTAAGGATCCTTAATCTTTTCAAAAAAGATTATAGCCCATGTCATTCGGGAATAGTGTAGCTTCCAAACAGTGAAACAATTTATCAAATCGGTTCAGTAGTTAAGGAGCCTATTCAACACAAACAAACAAATCTTTGCTCTTTATAATATTAGTATAGAAGTATAGATATCAGGTGACAGTGATAGAGCCGCATAAACGTCACTACAAGCTGTGACAGACGAGTTAAATAAAATGTTATGTAACTAATTTCACTTCGGAATTCTTTATATTCATAAAAGGCCGAGGAAACGAATCCGGGGGGTGAGCTAAGTTTACTGTAGTATATAACGATTCATTAATTTACTTTACATTAAACGCTAACGAAGGGAGCAGTGGCGCCTCTCCATCACAACTAAAACCGCTCGAGCCTGTGCCTTGTGCGGTCGATTACGAAAATAATAATTTCGCAATGAGTTTAAAAAATTGCAGAATATCGTACGAGCGATGTCCGACTTTCACGCGGGGCGATATCACGCGGAGTCTGCGCGGGGCAGACAGAGTTATGAACTGTAGAGTCCCGGGCGTGTTGTACCTGCGTGCCAGCAATGAGCATTACCACGTGTACATATTTAGATACAGTGTCATGGCATTGTCAGTGCAATAACCAATGTTTGTTGTAAACAGCTAATACGCGTCGTGGTCACAGCCGTGAGCACTCATGAACTTATTAAATGCATATGATTCACAAAACTGTCTAGATGAAATCACCCTGAAGCATTTGTGAGAACACTTTTTTGCGTAGCAATATTTTGTAAATTTCCTAAGGTGAGCATTCCTGAGCATACCACTGATGTTACTGGACATTTTAATTTACTGCTCTTTCGCTCGCTGGTGAGTTATATAAAAAAATGGATACTGCAATTCAGTCGACTTACCATGGTTAATCTTCCCCTGCTGTGAGATCAGCATACTGAGAGGCACCTGCCTGTCTCCTGAGATCCTCGGAGTGAGTCCAAACAGCCTACTCCTGGCAGTTTGACTCACGCTCCTAAAAGCGTTGTGACCCATCGTGAAGGTTCACCACATCCGGATTATATCTGGAAATAAAGGTGCTAATCAGTGGCCGTTGTGAGTCAGAGAAGTGTGGTCTCGTGAACATTGTGAAACACGAGGTCGATGTCTCAATTTGTATTTGAGTGGTAATGATCTTACTGTTTATAGCAGAAGGAAAATAGTCCGACAATTCGCCTGATTAAGTTCACATTGGAGACGCTGCCTACGGAGGAATAATAGTCCAGTAAGTAATTAGAAGGCAGCTCATTTCTCTGACATTCTTGGTTGACCATGGAGGACCATAGATACCCCCTTCCTGGCTGAGCCTTTGCTCGCCCACCTGCCCTGGTGAAACTGGAAAGGCCTCCGGGCCACCAGTAATAAAAAAAAAAAAAACCATAGAGGCACATGAAGGTTGAGGAGAAGTCAATATCAAAGGGCAGCAGAGCAGCAGAGCCGCGTATTCAATGCAGGTGAGGGAGCTGCGCGTGGAGCGGTCCACCACACCAAGGTCTACACATCGATGCACACAAACAAGTTCTTTGTGAATTTATCGTCTACTAGCGGCCCGATCTGGTTCCGCTCGGGTCTTTAACAAAAATTTCAACGATATTTGACATTGTTTTATTTTTTTAAATAAAAGAACACTTTTTGCGGCACAACTATAATAGTTAGACATATTTTCTCGCAACACTTTTTGTAAATACTCGTAATAATGTGTTTTACAAAGTCGTAGTACATTATTTTATTCTATAATCAATAGTTTTCGCAGGGCACGCGATGTAAACAATATTTTAGGTAATTTTTTTACACTTGGGGTTACATTATTGGAGTTTTAGTAAGGATGCCCAATTTTTTTCACAAAATATTATAGCCTATGTCACTCGGGAATAGTGTAACTTCCAAACAGTGAAATAATTGTTCAAATCTTTCCTCTCTATAATATTAGTATAGATTCGTGAACAGAATTTTTGTAAATCACGAGGAAAAAGTACATGTAATATGAGACAATAAATGTAAATCTTGTTGTGTGATTTTAGTAGGGTTTCGTTCATTGGGTGAATGTTATCTAATATCTACCAGATATTAAGCTCCCCCCACCGCTCCATCCCACGGTCCCGTGACCTCGTGTCAATGCGGCGAGCCACTGCCTCTCTGAGGGCTCACGAATGCGCAGCTCGGGCACTTGTCGATCACTCGCGAACCAAACACAACAACTACTACAACGAACACGATCTTGGCCGGAGACCGGGCGCCGTGACGTACCAACTCATCGTCAGTAAAAAATATAATCACCGAACAAATAATGAATATGTGATGCTTTGTGTGTTGTAGTTTCCGCTTGCGTCGCTTCATTTGAATTTGTATTAGACCTACCTGGGTCCACTCTTACTCTCGAAAAGTTACTGATGACCAAACTATGTCATTTGTTATTTTGTCATCAGCAGCGGAGTCGCCGTGGGAAGATCTCGCTAGCAACAATGCGCTATTTATAAAACATATTTTTTTCGTAATTATTAACCAAAGTAAACTTCCTTTAAATGAATGCGAACTTTTCTTTAAACCCAAATAATATTCAGTTCCCAAACACATGATTTTTCGTGACTACGCAATGTAAAGCGATGGTAGCTGGCGGAGGTCATCGACCTCTCAAGTTTGCCGATTGTCAAATGCTTTCCATTGCGCGCAGACAAAAAACGCGAGAACAGGTCTACCTTACACACGTCCTATACTTAAAAGTCGTGTTTTGATTCGTGGCTGATTATTGAGGAATGCGCTCGGCGTGGTGGTGGCGAGCTCGTGGGATGCTAGTGTACACATTTAGCTAAATAGTAAGGCGAGCCCGCGGAGTTTGTATGGGGACGAGCTTACAGCCCACCTGGTGTTAAGTGGTTACTGGAGCCCATAGACATCTACGACGTAAATGCGCCACCCACCTTGAGATATAAGTTCTAAGGTCTCAGTTTAGTTACAACGGCTGCCCCGCGCTTCAAACCGAAACGCATTACTGCTTTACGACAGATAGGCAGGGTGGTACCTACTCGCGAGGACTCACAAGAGGTCCTACCACCATCATGCGACGGTAGACATTACATATTCAATAAGCAACCGACAATAGCTGAATTCATTCATTTTGATTTTGTCCGAAGCGAACCAATGTTATTTGTCGTATAAAGTACAATGTGTTTTTTGCGTTTGACTAGAATATGTGATGTGTTGTTCAAACAATGAGATGAGTCTAAAGTTCTGAGTGCCGAGTGCCGACCCGCACGCGGCCTGGCTGCTGGAGACACGAGGATTTTCTATACTAATGTTATAAAGAGGAAAGATTTGTTTGTTTGTTTGGAATAGGCTCCGAAACTACTGAACCGATTTGAGAAATTCTTTCACTGTTTGTAAGCTACACTATTCCCGAGTGACATAGGCTAAAATTTTTTTTTTTTTTTAAATTAGCGTTCTTTACTAAAACTCCAATAATGTTTTTTTTTTAATTGCTTATATGGGTGGACGAGCTCACAGCCCACCTGATGTTAAGTGGTTACTGGAGCCCATAGACATCCACAACGTAAATGCGCCACCCACCTTGAGATATAAGTTCTAAGGTCTCAAGTATAGTTACAACGGCTGCCCCACCTTTCAAACCGAAACGCATTACTGCTTCACGGCAGAAACAGGCAGGGTGGTGGTACCCACCCGCGCGGACTCACAAGAGGTCCTACCACCAGTAAAGTAAGTTGTCTATTAAATAGGCAAATTATATTTTTTACGACTTTGGCGTTTATCACACATAGTTATTCGTTGATGGTGGGAGTCATTCTGAACATTAGTCAAGTGTGTATTATATTGGAACAGCTGGTACCAGCCTGTGGCGCCACGCGGGACGAGCTCACGGACCATCCTATCGGTTGGGTCTCGACGAATAACTTAGCTCCTCCTTGTTTCAAGAACCACCGCTGACCTAATCATAGCTGTGAAGAAAGATGACTTCTTATCATCAGATGGGCCGTTTTCCTTATAGCAATTTTCGAGACAACCTCGACCTTAGTGACAATGGAATGTGATCAGCGCGCCGCGACAAGGTCGTTAATTGTCGCTAATCGTTGTTCGTGTGCTAATTGATGTTAATTACGAAGACGCCAGACCCTGTAGTTATAGATTAGACCAATTTATATGCAAAATGTAGCTCTGTACTGATCCCGAGCTCTCCTCGTGCACACATAGACACAGAGTCGACTTACATCTGGCCTCTAGTCCTACACTACACTACTACAAACACAGTCCTCTGCAGCTCTGTACTGATCCCGAGCTCTCCTTGTGCACACACAGACACAGAGCCGACCTACATCTGGCCTCTAGTCCTACACTACACTACTACAGACATAGTCCTCTGCAGCTCTGTACTGATCCCGAGTTCTCCTTGTGCACACACAGACACAGAGCCGACCTACATCTAGCCTCTAGTCCTACACTACACTACTACAGACACAGTCCTCTGCAGCTCTGTACTGATCCCGAGCTCTCCTTGTGCACACACAGACACAGAGCCGACCTACATCTGGCCTCTAGTCCTACGCTACACTACTACATACACAGTCCTCTGCAGCTCTGTGCTGATCCCGAGCTCTCCTCGTGCACACATAGACACAGAGCCGACCTATATCTAGCAATATACCAATATGTACTACCAATGTATATAGCTGGAACTCTATCCCGTGGCCCGATGATACCGAAACCGTCGCAACCAATTAGATATTAAAGTATGTCCCTAGGTCCACATTAGTTTGAGTCTCGGTCGGAGAAAGGAGCAGTAGTTCGGGCCAGGGCGCGCCTGTGCTCCTTAGAGCCCAGGTATTTGTCCAGGCAAACCACTTCGCTAGGATGAAGACATCTCTCACTTTCCAAATGACTTCGATAGGCAATTCTCAAGAGTCTTAGTGCTCCCGCACGGCTGTGGGGGGGGGGGGGCGGTGCATTCTTCGCGGCGCGAGTGCTCATACGAGTATGTACAGTTAATTTATATAACACACTTTCGATGTTAAACGTAATTAAGTACAGCATGTGAGAGTGTGAGCGCTCGTGAGCACTCGGCCGGAACGCGCTGCCTCGTGCGCGATCACTGCACTGTGTGCTAGTTTTTTACTTATTCTAATCAATAATGTTCTGATACCAAACCACTATAAGCGGTGGCGACCAGGCGCACTGCCTGTCCGTACGGGTGTGGCCCATGGACCCGACCGCGCGGGTCGCTAGGACCGTGCGACACTGTCCACATCCTCCATTCAGGACGACTTTAGATCTCCAGGGGCGCCGGGCACATAATAATAATAATAACTAGTGGCACCGCAGTATTCGAAATTCGACTATAATTAATTGAAATTATAAGTTTCAACATTATTATGATCCTATTGTTACAAATTTCGCCAAGACTACACTTTTTTTTTTTCCTATCCTATCCTACGGAATAACCCGCTGGGTCAGAACCAGCGTGGGTTGAGGATAGCCGGCCTTCCATCACCCGGATGCTCATGCATAAACCGCGCGCAGAGCAGCTTGCACGTCGTCTTCTTAGGCCCCCTTCGCCGGTCCCCAGGCCGACATGTGAGAGAGACCCGAAACACTTAGAGGGCCAGGGCTTGGGCGAGATCCGCCTCCCTGGCCCCCGCTTAATGGCGGCGGGCCTGTGCGCCTCTCACGCGCCCCGCCGCCTCCTTCTGCGAGATGGTGCACTCGCAGAAGTCGAGCATCGCCTTCCACGACTCGTCGTCACCGAGCATCGATGCCACAACACTCGGCAACGACAATTCGTTTCCTATTTTTGCGACGAGGACACGGCGCCACCCCTCCCATGCGGGGCAGGCAACGAGCGTATGCTCTGCCGTGTCCAAGTCGCAACCACAATGGTGGCACTCTGCCGTCGGTTCGGCTCCGATCCGGTGCAGGAACTCACCGAAGCAACCATGCCCAGTGAGTACCTGCGTGAGCCGGAAAGTGAGGTGTCCTCTGTCACGATTCACCCAATTCACAAGAACCGGGCGAATCGCCTCGACGGTCCTACGACCAGCCGAAGGATCGGCCAGCCGCCTGGACCATGACTCCAGCACGGACCGCCGAGATTGGGCCCTCCGCGCTCTGACCACACTGGGGCTGGGACGCGCCACGCCCCGGGCACGAAGGTTAGCCCGCCACTGATTGTCAGCGGCGAGCGCCTCCGCCTCCAGGACCCAAGGCGGCGTCCCAGCCAGTACACACGCCGCCTCGAAAGAGATGGTGCGATAACCACGGATGACCCTGACCGCGATGGTGCGTTGCGGCCGTTGCAGCAACTTCGCTACCCCCACGGCCAGGGACTGGCCCCACACGGGCGCCCCGTATAAGGCCATTGACCGCACCACCCCCGTATAGAGACGGCGCGTCACCTGGTCAGGCCCCCCGATGTTGGGAAGAAGCCGGCTTAACGCGCCGGCCACTCCCAACAAACGAGTGACCAGGTTCTGAAAGTGAACACGGAAGGTCCAACGACTGTCCAGAATGAGGCCGAGGTACTTCAACTGCACCCCGACCCCGATACGGACGCCTCCAACCACGATATGGGCATCGACAGGTGGCACTCTCCGGGGCCTGTGGAACCACATGGCCTCGGATTTACTGAGCGCCACGTCGAGGCCCAATCTCCTGATTTTGCCGACGACATGCGCCACCCTAGCGGTGGCAAGACGAGCAGACTCAGCAAAACTCCCTCCCCGGGCCACGACCAGCGTGTCGTCTGCGTAACAGATTACGCTTAGGCCCGGGAGGAGGGCACCCCTCAGTACCCAGTCATACCCGATATTCCACAAAAGGGGGCCGAGCACCGACCCCTGTGGAACACCGCGCACGACCGGGAACCTGTGCACGATCCCACCGTGTCCGGTACACGTGACCGATCTAAGACTACACTATAGGCAAATATTCGTAATATTAAAGATAAATAATACTAACCTATTTTCAATTTGACTACAGACTTTAAACAATAGCAAAAGTTTGACAATACTTCAGTGCAATAAACAAAGAGTATATTGTGTGTGTGTCAAATACATGGTAGTGTGTGTAATGTTTTCTTTATTGATTTAATGTATCTTTTATTCATAATTTAAAAAAATATTAGGATTGTTCTTTATATTCTTCTCTATATTCTCTATAAGTGTGGAAAATTTCATACTCCTCCGTCCGCGCAATTTTCGTAAAAAGGGATACAAAGTTTTTGCTTCACGTATTAATATATAGATATTAAAGGATTGGATGTTCCTCAGACTTACTTGGCTAGGTTTCATCATAATTCATTTGTTTAGCTATAAATTCCAACGCACAGACAAACCTTAGACCGTGTTTGTATCGCTGTCTCGTTCCAGTATAGTAGCTCCGAGTGGCGCAGTGAACATACGGGTCAAGGTTCGAGACGCGTCATCTTTAATGCATCGTTTCCGTTTTACGGTGATTCAAGATTAATTGTTTATTGATGTTGTCCAGGGACGATCGGATACCGAATAAGGAATCTACTCATGAATTCACTGAAATTACATTCTCTTCCTGTTTTAATGTTTCTATATCAAAATTGAATTTGTAAGAGGCAATATTTTTTTCTTTCTGGTATTTATATTTGTCCCGCTATCGGGGCGGTTGGGTCACCCGGGGACGGATCACCCGACCTGAGCGCACTACTTTTACGATTCAATTTCGTAATGTACGTCCGTAAAGATCTTTCTAAAATTGGCATTCGGCACGGCGTGTGCGCGTCGACTGATGACACCCAGCCGCCCGCAACGAGTCCGGGACACGGAGGCGACGGGTCCCGTCTCGAACCCGCGATGCGCGCATCGAGCTGCGTACGATCCACTCCCGCATCGACACGCGACACTACATGTTACCGCGTAACGAGTTGATCATTTTGCATTTCCTTGAATGACCAATCCGTTTACTTATATCATAAACAATTTAATAACTACATTACTTGAATATTACTGGAAATATTAGTTTCGTGACTGCGACTTTGCTTGGAAATTGTAGATTTTATCTACACTTTATCTTTACCTGGAATTGAGTTATTATAACACGAATTTTTTTTTTTATAAGGAGTTGCGGAGGTTGAGATTCTGTAGATTACGCCACATATTTAAATTTAGGTATTATGAGTTATTTTTATAGATTAGTTTATATTATTTTAGTTTTAGTTTTTATAGATCAGATTAGTTTAAAGATTAAGATTACAGGCAGCGGCACAATAAAAGCGATAGTTTCAGCTATCACAAAGCTGAGCCGCGGCCTTTTTATCTCCACTGTGTCAGTATAATTAATATATTGTAATATTGCTTAGAATTAGAATTTTTATGTCGTATTAATTAAAAAGTTATTTGTATTGTGGAGTAAATAAATGTAATTATTATTATTATAATACTGCTCTCCTTCAGACGTGAGGTCGAACTGTATTGTATGTTCATTGTTTCACCACTGAAGCCGTAAGGAGTGGTTGCTTCGCGACAGGATGCAGCGCGCGGATAACCTCGGGGTAGTTTTTTTTTATATTGCTTAGATGGGTGGACGAGCTCACAGCCCACCTGGTGTTGAGTGGTTACTGGAGCCCATAGACATCTACAGCGTAAATGCACCACCCACCTTGAGATATAAGTTCTAAAGTCTCAAGTATAGTTATAACGGTTGCCCCACCCTTCAAACCGAAACGCATTACTGCTTCACGACAGAAATAGGCAGGGTGGTGGTACCTACCCGCGCGGACTCACGAGAGGTCCTACCACCAGTCTACTGCTGCTACTTAATATCGAGAGCAGGTACTAGCGCGGTACTACGGACGCGGACGGACACACACACACAAATGAGATGTAGTGAAGTGCATGTGATTGAATATTCACGAGGCTGTACAGTTCCGTGTGCAGGCGGACAACAACATCAAATGATTCGCGTAAATAGACAATTTTATAGTCCACGTACCTTGACTTCTCCGTATTATGAGAATTCATACAAATCAGGGTTCATTTATCATTGTTTGTTCAATGATGCCCATTTTGTTTGTGCTATCTTCGTATCTCACAAACAGTTTGATTTTGTAACACGTTATAAGTTGTAAAGGTCGTGTTATGAATGTTGTTGTGCTATCCCAGGGCCGAACCACAATTCTGCTCTAAATATTGTGAAAAAGGCTACACGCGGCCGCCCCACCACCATATCACCACATTACCACACCACCACGCTACGACACACTCCAGTAATGTAGCCTCAATGAGCGCAGTGCTCCGCTCTGTCTGACCTGGATCCGACCATCATTCTCACAGTTTTTATTTCGACAAGTCATCAAGAGGTTTGAAAGTTTTCACTCGATCCACACTGATACTGCGAACTTGAGACACTTTTATTTCATCATTTTAATGTGTTGATCAGTTATATCCAGACTTGTCTCTGTATATATACAGGTCCCCAGCAGGAGATTATGATCTATCCGCGAGTCGTGAGATGTAAATAATCTTAATGATAGGATAATTACGCAAGTTTATAAATTATGTAAATTGTATGTTGTTATACATATGTTGTATGTGCGAAGCAGTGTCGCGCTGAATAAGCGAGTGAATATCTCACGGATATTCTAAGTGCCTTACTTACAATACTTTAATCAGTAACTGGTGTTTGTTTACCTGTAACAATAAAATAAACATAAAAGGATTTCTTTTTTTTTGGAAAATTTAACCTTTTTTTTGAATTAAAATTGTTTAAATTAGCTCCGAATAATAATTGGTGATGTTAATTTAATGTAAATTTAAGCTTTGATCTCATTCTATCATTCAATCGCAGTACAGCGTCCGTAGCCTAATGGGTACGACTCGGTGTGTATGTTTCTAGTAGCGGGACAGTTTCGGGACTCTAGTTCTGCAGACTGTCACCAACAGTTCTAGATTATAAGTTTGTCAAAACATTGTTAGTGTGCATGCTCCCTAGGTCGGGTTGGCCGCTGCACAGCGCTATTGTCACTTGGAGTAACGTGAGGCGTGAGACGTGAGGCGGCAGTCTCGTTGAGTTGTCTCCGAGATTTGGTGTTCCAGTCTGCCTGTCTCAAGTCACACCCTATGTGTGTTCGGGAGCGACGCTTAATACGAGATGTTCGCTCAAGTTCACGCATTATGTGTTTACACAAAAGTCATTGTGATAACTAAAAAAAGTACTAATAAATATTTTACAATTACATCTGTATGTAGGTCGAGTGAGCTCGGCGCGGCGACGGTTACTGTTAGAGAGACGGTAACCGTTCCGCTGACTCGGCCGCGACACTCGAGAGCGCTCTACGCACGCAAAGTGCGACACTCGGTGTTTACGCAGTCACACATCTCTACCCTTCCGATGCGATATCTGCATAGTATGGCAGGGAGCTTCTGCCAGGGCAGAGAGGTACCCTGAGGCCCGTTCCGTGCCCCCGCAAGGGAGCACGATGTCCCCTTCTTATCTTATCTGCATAGTAGCGGCGGCACACCTCGCTACCCCCGGCCGACCAGCTCAGCCAAGTCTGTCTGTATGTATGTCTGAACGTCCGTATGTAGCTATCCATACAAAACAACAAGTCGAAGAAGATGTGATTTGTCGCAAGGCTCCGTCCATCCTGAAGGGGCCTGTCCTACCAGAACTGTCTGAATGCTTTCGGATCTTTCAGTAGATGTACCGTGTGATGTACTTCAGAGGCATTTAATCATGACGACCTTCGGCATCCGCGAGCACAAAAACACCTCATTTGAACATTATCTAAAAACCTCATCTAGCTTCCTGCGGTGCAGCCCAGGGGCATCTTGCTTTGTATCTATTATCTAACAGGTCCCAGGCCAGTTCCTGTGTTTTGAAGCAGTAAAAGCCTTCTTGAGATATGAGTTCTAAGGTCTCAGTTTCAACAGTACAACGGCTGCCCGACCCTTCAAGCCGAAAAGCATTACTGATTCAGGGCAGATTTAGGCAGGGTAGTGGTATCTACCAGGCGGACTTTTGAAATTCCCCATCATACTGCTAGTACGTCTAGTTATTGTCACTGTCCATGTCATCCTCGCTGATGGTACCTTCAGCGCTGATTCTGTCGCTAAGCAATCGTAGCGTCTGGACGCGGGGATGGTCTCGTGTTTGAAGGTGGGTGTGTGGCCGCACTGGCACGCCGGTACACATTGAATACCGAATGACCCGAGGTTACGTCCGCTCATCCAATGCAATAAAAAACATATTCACAATGTGTTCGAAAGTACGACCTCCTATGTCAAGTAGCTACAGTTACCACTTAACGTCAAGTGAACCGTTATGCTGTGTCTATAGAGGTCGCTAGAGAAACGACACCACAGAAAGCTCATTAAAGCTTTGTGCAAACAAAAAACTACAAAAGTTCTATTTGAAAGTTTGAACTAACTCGAGAGATCAACTTGACCTAATGAAGATTTAACAAAAACTGACCACAAGAGTGCGGGGGCGCGGCGGCGTGTGCGGACCTCTGACTCAGAGAGTCGCTTGTTCGAGTCTGGGCACATATAATTAGGGGCATGTCGTGTTCACGGTGAGATGTAGATTTATATCGACTTGACGTTACGATGCTCATCTTGTTGGGGATGTGGACTATTTTGAGAATAATATCCGTCATTACACGTACACTCATATATGGTGACATTTGATGGTGCATGTACTGGGGGAATGGTGAGCAGTCGGTGGACCACAGCACCAGCCCTACTCGGTGCCGTGGTGCTGCACTCTCGCCTGGTGACCCTCGACTCTGCGAGTGACGTCACAGCAAAACACACAGCCGTCCCTTCGTACGCACGTATCGAACCGCGCGCCCTTCAGCCGACTGACCTGCAGCTCTGTGCAGTTGTTGGTGTTGGCATCCCGCGCTCGGACACTAGGCGGTGTAGTGGCGCCCTCGCTGGGAGACCACGCGCATGGCTTCAATACATCGAGCGACAGGAGCGGACTAGGTCGGGGTATAGCGTATACGATATAAGGACAATTGATTTGTAAAGAATAACTGAAAATTAATTACAAAATCTTAAAAAATATCTCTATACTAATTTTAAAGAGGAAAGATTTGTTTGTTTGCTTGTATTGAATAGGCTCCGAAACTACTGAATCGATTTAAAAAATTCTTTCACTGTTGGAAAGCTACGGTATCCCCGGGTGACATAGGCTATATTTATTATATTTTCAAAAAAAATAGGGATCCTTATTGAAACTCTAATAATGTAACCCAATGTGTAAAAAAATTACCTAAAATTCGTTACATCGCCTGCGCTACTTCCCAAGCGAAGCCCGGGCGGGCCGCTAGTAACATATAAGGACAAATGATTTGTAAAGAATAATTGTAAATTAATTACAAAATCTTAAAAAATATCCCTAATAAATGTTGAATCTGAGATCGTAGAACTGGGAGCAAACAAGGTGTACCTACCTCTGTAGAAGTACAGTAAGTACACACCGCAACTTGTCAATCCTTTATTTTAACACCACACAAGTACATACAACATAACGTAACGTTGGAACATTTTTTACGTGTTCCCGAAACCGCGGTACAAAACAGAAGAAACTTATCCTGACAGGGTGATCGTTTTTTGACAGTTGACGTTAAGCTCCATTACGGCGTGCTCATTATAACAACCTCCCGTCAGCTGATCATCTCATGGCGGTGCGGCGGTGTCTGTTGTATCTGATCATCTGTCTGGTCTTTCCGTCAGAAGGTCCTAGAGGAGGGAATCTCCAGGGAGCCGCGAGGGTGGGCCGACCGTCCCCCGTGCAGAGCCCGTAATGTAACGTGATGTCAATATTCGGTCGAGTTTGAGACCTAGTTAACTCTATGTTGACCAAAGTGTTATGTAATCCTCATAATAGTTTTTGCAACATAAATTTAAATTATTAGATTATAGCATTAAATTTTATGAAGAAAAAAAAGTGGTTCCGTAGACAATTAACGTAATCTGTACTAAGTAAAATTTATTGGATATCGACAAGACTGGGTTCCTCGTTAGGGATACCACATACTACTGTAGACCCCGTCCCCCGTCCCCCGTCCCCCGTCCCCCGTCCCCCTGTTCCCTCGTCCTATGGCTGCGGAAGACAATGCGCCGCCGATTCATAGAAATAGTAATCGGTCGCCGTTTCAGGGTCATGTTCTGTTCTCTGATATCCTGAGTGTGCCACTCGTTAGGACAGACGCAGCACCACTCCACCACGAGCCGACATTAGAGAGGCCTTATCTAAATGACGGTCCTCATTATGCGGTGGTCACTTATCAACGAACCTACCATTAGCTCGACCAGTTACCAATTAATTTGATTGTAATAGATTACGTTCTTAGTAATAATTGAAGTTTAATATATTTCAGTCCATTTAGGTGGTAATTGCGGAACCTGTTTCAGTATCTCTGCCCACATCGGCGTCTGCGGGTGGACTCGGTGATTTCACTTGTTAAACTGCCTAAAAGCTCGAAGGAGTCTACGATTGGGAGTCGTGTGTATGAAGAAGGTTTTCAGAATATATTGTATAGTACCAATGCATAGAGAAACAACCACTTCGATAAAGCGGCACGACACGAGAACCCTCTCATCGTGGCCGCCGGTAACTACATTCCCGATCCTGCGGACAGAATGGAAAGCAGTCGACGTCGCCCAAAACACGTCATCTCGGATCCTCCCGATCCACTAACGGTGCTTTTAGGTACTTCAAGCACCGGTCACCGTTCTCGTCGAACCCGTCGCTTGCGACNCGTCCCCCTGACCCCTCGTCCTGTGGCTGCGGAGGACAATGCGCCGTCGATTCAAAGAAATAGTAATCAGTCGCCGTTTCAGGATCATGTTCTGTTTTCTGACGTTCTGAGCGCGCCACTCGTTAGGGCCGACGCAGCACCACTCCACCATGAGCCGACATTAGAGAGGCCTTATCTAAATGACGGTCCTCATTATGCGGTGGTCACTTATCAACGAACCCACCGACTACCGTTAGCTCGACCAGTTAGCAATTAATTTGATCGTAATCGGCTACGTTCTTAGTAATAATTGAAGTTTAATATATTTCAGTCCATTTGGGTGGTAATTGCGGAACCTGTTTCAGTATCTCTGCCCACATCGGCGTCTGCGGGTGGACTCGGTGACTTCACTTGTCGAACTGTCTACAAGCTCGAAAGAGTCTACGGTTGGGAGTCGTACGTGTGTATGAAGAAGGTTTTCAGAATATATTGTATAGTACCAATGCATAGAGAAACAAAAACTGTTTACTTTCGCTGATAATAAATGATCAACAGCTGTCAACAAATGTCAAATGTGGTCAACTGAGTGACCACCAAACGAATAGCGAATAATATAATTTAGACCTGGCCCACGATCCTACAGCTACTGTCATGTGGCATGTTGATTCAACCATCCCATAGACACAACCCACTGAGTCTCTCGTCGTATCTTCTCAGTGGGTCGCGATTCCGATCCGGTGATAGATTCTGTAAGCATTGCTCCTGCTAGGGCTAGTGTTAGCAAATTTTCTGAGGTTGAGCCCATGAGCTCACCCATCCGTCTGCCCGAAGCTGGCATAGCCCCTTTTTTATATTGCGCGCTGCCAAGGAGTATCTATAATAGAGAAACCGGTTGGCGGTGTATCGCGTCCCGACCCGGCAGGCTGGTTCAGGTCCAGCGGG